ATATATATATATATATATATATATATATATATATATTAGTGGAGTACATGGGCTGGGCCATAACGAAATGTTTGATAACCTCATGCATGAGTACAAATAGAAAATTTTGTATAATAATAACACTTTCCTCTTTAATTTTGTTCTAAATAATAATAATAATTAGAGACCAGTTGGCCATACACGTTTGGGATCCACTATTGACGTGGCAGACGCAGTCCACTTCAGCACTTGAAAGAAACCGCGGGCCCGACATCTGACCCCTAATCCTTTCCTAGGGTTTCTGTGGCGCCCGAAACCCCGACCGCGTCCGACGACGGAGTGGGGGGATATGGCGGGGACATCGAAGCAGTGGCTCTTGATCGGGGCGGGCGCTATCTTCGGTTCCCTCTCGACTGCCGCTCTCCTCAAGATCCTTTCCAGGTTTCTTTGGCTTTTCTTTCCTCGATTGATCTCGATTTGCACCAATTTGATCGTGCCTTCTGTCCATGTGAAACGCGTTACGATTTCGTCTTTTCACCTCACTGCCCACCTCAGTTTTTTCCCTAATGATTTGGTGCTTGTGTATTACAGAAAGGTTGGGAAGCAGCAAATCGAAAGACACTCCACTGACTTTTTGATGCATAATGGCATGAACGGTGCGTTTCTTTAAAAACTGTCGTATGGGATGTTCGACAACGTGTTTGGCAAGATTCAATACTGGGCCTCAAGACTGTGCCAACGGATATTTATAGGCGGAATCCCTTATTGATCCTTTATACACCGACCAATCCATATCTTACTGCTTAGTTTGCTATTGACTTTGACTATACTTTGTTTCATTTTTCTTATTGTTTGTCTTGTTGCTGCTACTAGAGCTACCTTTTCTTTTTTTCGTTATTGCTTCCTACCTTCTTTATTATTCATGATTATATTTCAGTAGTTCACATTTTTTTTTACACGTGTGCTTTCACCTAAACAGGGTGCATGCTTGGTTGTTATTGTTCATCAGCTATGCTGCTTGTCAAATTGAATTCATCTTTTTGAGTAGCAAAAGCTTTCAAGTCCTCCAGGAAGCTTTTAATGGTTTTGACGATTTCTAAGCTATGTCTTTGTTTTTACCCCACTCATATGGCTATTCCTTCCATGCCAAATTGCCCAAAGGGAATTTATAAGCTTCTTCTCCAGGTTCTCAAGATGATCAAGCAATCATTTCTGCCAGTTCTTAGTTTAACTTCTTCCTTGATCAATACTGCTAGCTTTAATGCTCCAAGAAACCATAGTTTCTTGATGTTCCTCTGGCCATAAAGCCTTTTGTCTCCTTTTGTCAAGCAACATTGTGGGAGTTGACTATCCTTATTGATAATATGAAGCATGCATGTCCACCCAAATTCTTGCCCTTTTCTATTTGCTTGGTTAAAATGGACCGCAAAATATCCCAACTTCATTCCCCTCTCTTTAGTTGTTTGCTCTTATATTTATTACTCAGCATTAGTGTTGATCAGACTCAAATTTGCCATAGTTTATTCGTGTTAACACTGAAACTCAAGGATGCTGGTACGAGATATATGGCTCTAACTGTGCCAAACTGAACCAAAAACACTTCTAGTTTTGGTAGAGATCCATGTTCACATGAGATTTGATAATAACGTAGTGTGTTTGTTGCCAACCTGATGCAAACCCCCTTCAGCAGACTTTGACACTGACTGAGTACAAGATTTAACAGTATGCATGTGCTGGTTGAGTTAGTATTCAGAAAGAGAGAACCTAAAATTAGTTCTTCAAGAAATTTCCAACAACTAACACCCGACTATTCAATCTATATTAGTTTGTGTATTTTTTCAGTAGTCTTCAATCATTCTTTATTCTGTGTAGTTTAATAGGACTGCTTAAACAGTATGGTTCTTATGGATTTTTTTACAGAGAAGCCATTTCTCATTTGTGTTCCCTATTGTATGTTGTTTTAATTATCGTAGACACTTGATCATATGTGCAATTTGAATTGTCTGGTAACCCATATTTTTTTTGCGTAACGTTGTATAGGGAAAGAAAATCCAGCTGGAGAAGGCAGAACTGGTTGCCAGGATATTCATAATGGTTTATTGGGTTTTGATTTAGAAGATGAGGTGGTATGTGAGCAACTCACAAGGTGGGACTTGAGTACATTTTCTTATTTCAAAGCTAAAGTAATAGGATTTATATTTGTTGCTGCAATAGAGTTGCACTTACCCATATACTACCAGATGTATGAGTAGCTGTATTTCCTAACATATATGTTAATTCTAGTTGTTCTAAACAATTGGTAGAGAATGAACAACTTGTATTAAAAATGTTGGTTCAGAAATAAACTGATTAGTGGGTCATGCTTTCTTATGTTAAATATATCTAAGTTCTTTGAAAATTTCAGTAGTCCATTGTGGTTTATATACATGAAATACTTGGTATGCCACCCAGTAGAAATATTTTCGTCATTTAGGATCCAGCAAGTATTGGATACTATAGAGTGCCTATTGTACATAAATGTTGTGTTGCTTGCCATTTTATCATTTTCAGTCTGGAGTCTGTTATTCTTGAGTTTATTGCATAACTGATTATTGATTATTTACAAGGTGATCATTCCTTCATAAGGCTAAAATGCAAGAATATTACTAGAATCTTATGAGTGATTTTAATAGGCGCTCGGGCGAGGTGAGGTGAGGCCTGAGCGCCTCGCTTCATTTCCAGGCGACGCGCTTCAAAGAGGCGCCACCTGGGCGCTCGCTCGAGCCCAGGCGTCGGGCGCTTCGGGCGAGCTCCCGGGTTAAACCAGGCGACCGAACCAGCGTTTTAGGTCTGGTTCGGTCTCCGGTGCCTTAGTTGGTTCAATTGAACTAACTAAACAATCAATATCAGCCTTTTGCTCGCGACTTCCCAACCCTAACCCTGCTCGTTGCTCTCGCTCTCGCTGCCGCTGCCACTGTCGTCGCTTGTTGCTCCCGCTCCCACTCTCGCTCCCATTGTCGCTGCCGCTGCCACTATCGCCGCTCGCTGCTCCTGTTGCCGTTGCTCACTGTTATCGCTACCGTTGCCGCTGCCATTATCGTCGCTCGCCGCTCTCGTTCCTGCTCCCGCTGCCACTGCTTGCTGCTACCGCTATCGCTGCTACCGTTGTCGCTCGCCGCTCCCGTTGTTGCTACTCGCTGCTACCCCTGCCGCTGCCATTGTCGTCGCTCGCTGCTCCCACTCCCGCTGCTCGTTGCTACAGTTGTCGCTGCCACTGTCGTCGCTCACCGCTGCCACTGTCGTCACTCACCGCTGCCACTGTTGTCGCTCGTCGCTCGCGTTCATGCTGCTCACTACTACCGCTGTCGCTATCGCTGCTCTCAGTCAGCAACCTCGATCTTCCTCTTACTCATACTTTTCTCACTTCGTATACTATATACTAGTAACAATATTTTTATTTATTAGATTAATAATATATTATTTTAATTTTAATACTATTAATTTTTATTTATTTGAAATTATTGTTATTGTTTTGAATTTTTAGATTTTTTTGTTAATGTGATATTGTAATTTTACAAGATTTTCTTAATTTAATATCATATTTTTATTTAAATAATTATATTTATTAATTTTATTATATATTTTTATATTTTAGCGCCTTGCTTCGCTCGGGCGAGTGCCTAGGCGAGCGCTTAGCGCCTCAGGCGTTTTTGGACTTTGGCGCCTAGCGTTTTTAAAATCACTGATCTTATCACATGTTTGCTGTTGGCACTAAAAGTTTAATACTAGCGGATAGCATTTTCTGCTTATCTTTCTCCAGCATCATATAAATAAGCACACCTCTCTTCAAATAGTTTTTTATTTGAAAATATTAGATAATTTTCTTCCTGTCCATCATCTGTGTATTTTAGTGTTCCACTTAAAATTTCTATAATATGAATATCTACACTCTTTTCAAACCCTTAAAGATTACAACATTTATTCACTGCTTGGATGGTTTTAAGTGGTGACAAAAAGAGTAGAATTGTCTGTATGCTGATGTTCTCTTTTTTTATAGAATGTTTTTTCCAGCTTTTCTCATTTCTCTGTTTACCTTGCAAGTGCCACTTGAAGTCTCATAGCCTTTTAAGATATTGAATAATTGAACCAACATTCTCAAAACCGCCAAGATTTGTCCTTACCGGGCCATATTTACTGGTCTGACGCTGAACTGGCATGTGGACCAGTCCTTTTCAGACAACCTGGTTTGATCCGGGCTCTTTATTTTTTCTTATTTAGGGTTTATCCCCCCGCCTTCTCTCTTGATATCTTTTGCGTCATCTCCATCATAGTGGCTTCTGCCAGTCGCTAGCTTGCTTGACTGCTGTGAATGCTGCCGCCAGACCAACCACCTGGTGCTCCTCCTCCTGCCCCTCTTGGTACCATGCCATGTGCATACCACGTGTTGGTACGCTACCTGACCTCACCACTTAACCGTGATGAATAAATTAGGAATAAGATCAGCATCTTTTTCAATAATTTTTTAGGATACATGACTAAATTACGTTTTGTTTATATGACATCCTTTCTCTTCATCTTGAACAGTCCATTTTATTCCATTAATTGATTACTTTTGTAAAATTTAATGAGGCCAGTTTCATTATTTCGTTTCTCAATTTTCAGGAATATCCAATTCTTTGGCATTGAATTCCAACAAAAAGTATCGCAGTCATATGTTGTGGTTATTGGCCTTGGTGGAGTTGGTAGTCATGCTGCTGGTATGCTTTTAAGATCTGGTGTTGGTAGGCTCCTACTTGTGGATTTTGATCAGGTACCGTAAGTTATCTGAAAGTTCAAGCAAGGTTTCAAATAAGGATTTAAATTTTTGTTTGGTATGGTTTCTGTGATCGGTTGGACTGGCATGGTACCATTATGTCAGTCAGTATACCAATTTGTTACCATCCGGTGTCATCAGAAAAAAAAGAAAAAGTTGAACACCAATAGGTACCAGCCTACATTGTTTGGTATTGATCCTTGGTTGAACTGCTAACTATTCGTCAGTATATCTGAGGTTTCAAAAACCATTCTAATACCAATTTTGGTTACATATCAAACTTGTATGACACCAAGACACCAAGTGGCATATTGCCTATTCCGTGGTCTCAAATGCCGGTGAGATTTGTATGTACGGAGTGGAATACTGGATTTGGTGACCCATTAAAGCAGTATAATAAGATACCAAGTGGTTTATTGCCTATACCATGGTTTCAAACACCTGTTAATTTTATATATACCATTCAGTATTTAATAGTCCGACCAAGGGCTGATATGAATCACTTAGTATAGGTCGATATTCATTATATTATTATTTTTCAATGAGATTAGGCGATATGGATCCATATTCTGCCTGACATACCATTAGAACAGCAATCTGACAACCTGGATTATATAGCTCGATATCGGTTGGTATACACTTTATTGTTATTATTTTTCACTGACACTGAGCAACAATACAAATTGGTATATTTGTCCTATACGTTGTCAAATTATACAAATAACTTTTAAAATCTTGGTCCATAATCCTGATACCACTAGAATAATAGTAGAAAAGAAAAACGACAGGATATGAGATTTACAAGTTAGAAACCTTTCCGTTCTTTGCTTAAGGTTGGATGGAGATGGGGCCTCAATGTTGCTCAAAGCCTCACATGAAAGGATACTATTATTTAGCTTGATCTTTTCATGTCCTAAGCAATGTTTGATCTACCACACGAAACGGTACGAAACGGGTGATATGTATTGGTCTCCCCAGATGATTGGTACACGGACCAACTTGTTTTGGACGGTACGTAGGACAAGCTGGTACAAGTGATATATCAGTTGATATGGCCGATATGGTCAAAACTCATGCTGTGATACACGTCGGAACTGGTTGGAATTTGATTGATGCCGACTCAAATCGGGTCAAGTTTGACCCCAATGATCAAATTGACCATTGGGGGCCTCTTTTGGAGGTTTATCCTCTCCCTTCTCCCTTTTTCATTCACTCTCACTCTCATTCACTCCCTCACTTGCACTATCTCACACTCTTGTTTGTGAGAGTTTTTAATTGGCGATTAGTGATAATCAAGCTATTGATTTGGATAAAGTGGGATTTGAACTTGGGATCTAGTGAAAGTTCTCTCCAATTTGAAGGTATTTAGCTTCTTTCCATGTTTCATATATCATTTCATATAATTAGAAGTGTATTAAACTATTAATGCATATTTACAAGGATTAAACATGATTAACATCATTTTCTTGTGCTAGTCCTGGTTAGGTCTATTGTCTTCCATTTAGGTCCAAGTTGGGGGTATGTAGGGTTAATCATAGCCTTATGCATTTACTTAAGCCTCATATACACTCGATTCTTAATTAAATACAATAAAATTACCAGTGAATTAGGATAAAAAACTTTTAAAAAGATTTTTTTTGTGAATTTTCGACCATTTTCCAGCCTTTTTTCAGAAGACCGTTATGCACTGGCGTACCAATATATATGGTACCGGTATGTACCGGGCCACCCATGGACTGATACCATCTGTCGGCACGGTATGACGGTCCTCGGTCCTAAATCTCTAAATTGAATGCCTTCTAACTGGTCTGGTCCCTTTTAGGATGGTCTAAGCGACACAACTTAAATTGTCCAATCTCCATATGAGTTTTCAGTAAGCAGCTGCTGGTTACTGCTTCTGGTTCTTGACTGGGCTGTAAAAAACCCAGTTAGGCTGGTGCAGTGCAACCAGTATTTAAAAATTGTTCTCATGTACTTTTTCATTCTAAACTATTTCCTTGTATTTTTAGTTTTGGCCTCTCCTTTTGCATGAATTATTGATTTGGTTTTGTAGGATTTTGAATAATAGGGTAGTTGCTGACGTCTCTTGTTCTTCATGTATCTATTTAATATTTCTTACAAGCAAATAAGGGGAAACATAAAGGAAAATGATAATGGTTTAGAAGAAAATGATAGAAGCATTCTTCCGATTGACATATCAAGAGATTGTTTTGTCAAATCAGATCTATGAAAACCAAGGTTGCATGGAGGAAAAGTTACCACTTTGCCAAGGCTGATTCTCTCCCTTTTGTAATTGTCTCTTAAACCAATTTACTTCCACTTTGATACTGATGATGTAACTGCCTTACTTTTATAGCATAGCAACGATTACTCGAATGTTTTGTTTCTTTCAATCTAGATAAGATGACCTTTCTCTGTGTATCTGGAAAATAAAAGAAATCTCGTCTTCATGTCAAAAGGTATCACTGTCATCATTAAATCGCCATGCTGTGGCCAATAGAGATGATGTTGGAACCCCAAAAGCCATTTGCTTGCAAAAGCATTTTGCAGCAATATTTCCAGAGTGCATTGTGGAAACAAGAGTTCAGCTATATGATCCATCATCTGAGGAGGAAATTCTCTCTGGCCACCCTGATTTTGTTCTTGATTGCATTGACAATATTGACACCAAGGTAATCTTTTGTAAGAAGTGGCAATTTTTGGGCCAATACATGGATTCTATAATTGCATTTTGGTCCCACTTTTCTCATAATATATGCATTATCAGATGATGTATGCTATCATCATCCATTGATGGGCTTCTTTAAGAAAACCTCCACAGTATGTACTATGGATGCTTTGTTTCTTCTGTAGGTAATACACTTAAACATGCAGACAATGCTTTTCAATTTTTCTTTGGTTTGATCATTTATTTGCACATAATTTTTGTTTCGACATGCCATGTGCGATAAATTTATCTAAGAACAGATTTTATATTTCCTTGTGGAGTTTTTATTTTACTGGCATGAAGGGTGTATAGATATACTTATCTACGGTCATCTTATATTTCGGCTCATGATGCTTGAATAATGCCATTTTGTTTTGCATCTCTTGTTATCGTTTGATTTTGTGAACTTTTTCTGGTATTTTTGTTTTTGATGTTATATTTTTTCTGTGTGCTATGAGTGGTTTCTATCATTTTTGAATTAATTTTATGATTGTTTTTTGGTTTAACATGCAAATTGCCTTTTGGAAGCTCATTTTCACATAAATTTGAAGCATGGTTACATTCTTCATGTTATTTATACATTTCCAATGTGCAAAAGTTGGTTTAGTGCATCAGTTTCATATTCTTTGGTAGTCAAACTAGATAATTTGCAATATATTCCTAGCTAATGATCATCCTAGAGAGAGAGTAAATTATCTGCAAGTTCTAAAATGGTAACTAAATTGAAACTTAAGGTGGGATACATAGACTTTACTTTATCAGGGCTGTTTGCCAACACACCTTTTCTTCTGAAGTCTGTCAAGGTGATATTTGAATAGGTCTTACATAACAAAAGTGGCTTATAGAAAAATTTGGTTTTAGAATGGGAGGAGAAAGGAAGACGATCCTTTTCTAACAGCCTAACACATTGTTCTTTGTTGTCCGTGCACCAAGAGAGGAGTTCTGAAAGTTTGATAGGGAAAATAATCAAGGAAGGCACTGGATTCTCTACCAATGCCACCACTCTATGGTTCATGCAGATACTTCTGAAATGAACTTGGGAAGTTTTTGGAAAAGTTGCCACTTGTTCATTTTATTTTCAAGATCAAACGATGGAGAATACTTGACAAGGGAAGAGATTAAGCAACCATGGATTCTATGCTTGGTTAACTTCCATGCCTTAAGTCTGCAGTTAATCTAGATTGGTTCTTGTACATCAGAGCCGTTCTGGAATCTGTATATACACCTGAAGATGTTTTTCACCTAATGCTGTAACTTAAGTTTGTTATGAATGTGCACAAGTCAACTACATTGCTATTGACATCTGAGAAGTATCTCTCTCCTTATTAAGAGGTCATGAATGAGAAGAGAGAATAAAATACTTGATAATGGCATTCTCTGGTACTGTTGTGCCCACATGCTAATATTTTCTCTAGTCAGTTGCAATTACCAAAGTATACATAGTCATATTAATTTTTGAATTAATGATTGTACTTCAAAGATGGTCAAAAATATGTTGAGCTCATTCATGTCTATATTGTTGGCATATGAGTTGGTATTTCAAGTCATAGTCTATGAAATGTTGTAACTTTGTATTTTTTGGTTTCTTTGCAAACAATTAAGTTAGCAGATTACATGTTAATTCTTTTAGCTCCTTGAGTCACCTTTTATTACGGGCTTCATTTTGGGTTCGTCTTTAGTATTTTGTTTCTAATAAGTTGATCATAAATTTTCATATATGCACTTCATTTGGTTCACCTTATCTGATTATATTATATTGCTCCATAAAATCAAATGTCAAAATTCTCTCGTTGTTGGAACTTGACATATGATTCTATCTTGGTTAAGGGAAAAAATTGAAATGCTATTTTGAGATGCTACTATTACATATTCAGTTTTCAGATCTACAGAGCTGAACTGATTAGTTCCTGATTAGATTCATTATCCACATACAATAGTCTTTAGAAAACAATTAAAATGAGAAACTGCTATTGAATTTGGAAGATGATGATAAAATTTCAGTCACAAAGTATTGATCTAATGGGCATACTACTTGGGTGACAGTCACTGTAATATAAGGTTGTAAATTGGAAATTCTTTTTTCCTCTAGGCTGATTACTTTTATCTAACAGGTTGCTCTTCTTGCTGCTTGTGTACGTAGAGGTCTGAAGGTTCTTTCTGCAATGGGTGCCGGTGCTAGAGCTGATCCAACACGAATTCGCGTTGCAGATTTAAGGGAGTCAACCAATGACCCACTGTCTCGAGCGGTAATAGTCTTCTGTGTTCTCTTTAATTTTCTCTGTTGAATTTTTTTCTCTTTTCTTTGTCTACCAGTTCAACTGGCATTATATAAAATTATAAATGCAAGTTGGATGGCGAAGCACATTGTATCTTGTTGAGTTGTTTTTTGGAGTTCTTTGTGTTTCATGAACCTTTGTTAGGCAGTACTCAGATATTTTTTCCAAAATTTCACATTATTCACATCCTAGTGTTTGGCTGGTGGACGAGATTTTAAATCCGAATAATTTCCCACCTCGGAATACTTTAGGTAGCATTTGGTTGTGCTTGGGATTGGACTCAGATTCAGCTGGACTTGGAATGGGAGTGACCAAATCTGGCAACATTCATAAACACAAGGGCTGGTATTTGAATCCTTTCATCATGTTTGGTTTATATATTATGAGTTTATATTGTTAAGTATATAAAAATCAATATATAATATATATATTATTATGTTATATTTTAATATAATTTTTATTATTTTTTTGGATTTTGTATGTTTTGTATCATGTTATATTTATTGGTCTCTAATATGATTCACAGAATGGTCCTGCTTGTTAGCAATGTATGCTTAGTTTTAATACACAATGGTATAAGTCAAACTGCACTAAAAGAGATCCATATTTTGGAAGATCATGTTAGTGGGGCTCTCCTTGGTTGATGAACTTTTACTCCTTTCCCTTTTTTCATAATATTCTTTTTACAATTACATTGTACTCTTTTTCTTGTTATATTATATTGTAGTTTATTTATATTTTGATAATATTTTTATTTTGGTACAACTTTTTTATTTTACTACTGTTGATGTTATATAACTTGAAAATTATTAATTTATTCTTATATATTTATCTAATACATGTTGACATTTATCTCATTGTACATTTATTTTATTTTAGTTTTATATTAGACTTATGTTGGTCCTCAACCAGACTGGCATATCTCTAGTAAAAGAACTGAGATAGTATGCTGACACACGCTGTGGCATGTCTGAAACCCTAGAAAACCTCAAATTTGAAGGTGTTTCCTGCCTTATTAGAGATTAATACGGATGATTCATATACTTCAAGTGGTTGAAGTCTCAAAATCAAGGTTTGCGATTTCGAATCGTACTGCTTGTACTGGGCGGTCCACTCGATAGAGCGGCTTAGCTGCGGTGAGGTTGAGGGAGAAGCATCGAAGAAAGAAGAAGAAGGAGAGGGCGTTTAAAGAAGAGGGCGAATCGGGAGAACCTCGGCACGAACTTGTTTCCACGCCTGTTCTTGATCCCGACCCGGCGTCGTCCTCCCTTGATGATCCCGATCCAGGAGGTAACGACGAGGAGAGTAGTAAAGAGGAGGATCTGGAGGCATAGGGATCAGGGGAGGCGGCGGCTAGAGCAGCGGAAGAGGCGGTCTTCATCGCCTCGTCTACAACTCTACGACCTTCTTCTTCGCTGCGCTCTTCGCTGAAGGCCGGAGACCTCTACGGCCTTCGATGTCTTCTTCTCCGAATGCCGCAGATGTCGTGACGAGGAGAAGAGGAGGAGGTGACATCGTCGAGGCTGCATATGCCGTTTTTCTAAATTATATATATATATATATATATATATATATATATATATATATATATATATATATATATATATATATATATATATATATATATATA